TATTTTTTTAAAAGCCACAGGAACCAGCCCACAGGGGCTGCGACAGACCAAACCAGAACAACCTGAGGATGAGTCACGGCAGGAACGGTTCATATGCATTAGAAGACACTGGGTAGTAAATTACCTGTGACTCTGTACCAGGGGAGAAAAAGGAGTAAAAGATGGCAGCACCTCCAAGGAGAAGAAACGGAGTGGAAAGGCATCATCAGAGACCACACAGGAAGTCCTCGGCTCGGAGAGCTAATAGGCATCTCCCGGCTAATAAGTCGAACTGGAACTCCTGGTCTTTTCCCCACACCTGCACCTCGCCCGGTCCGCCCTGACCGTGAGGAACCATCCTTGTACCAGCTGCTGCGGTCAAGCAGCAGTGGGGCCCTGATGTCTCCTTCCAATGTCCAATCCATCAGCAAAGCCATCAGCCAATGGTCAGAATTTGACCCTTTCTATCACCTCCGCTGCCACCACGCTGGGTCCAGCCAGCACCAACCTCCAATGCCTGGATTTCTGCAGGACCCTCACGGAGAGCCCCCGCTGCCGCTCGTCCCCTCCAGACACGTGGAAGTCTGCTGTCTAACTTCCACCCAGCATCTGGGGTGACATCTTTAAAATGTAAGTCATGTGAGTGTCAACAAAATTATTGATAACACTGCCCCTTTATGTTTTATGCACTTTTCTTCATATAATGCGATTCAAATTTGTTTTAATGGTGTAAAAAAATGAAACAGGTTAAATCAAACGATGTCCATCTTCTGGTCGTACTTTAAAGCACAAAATAAAGTTCCTTCTATGCCCTTGAGCCATCTAAGCCCTACTCTCCTTGTTCCTGGATCTTGGATTTTCTCTTCCCTCCTTCAGGTGTTTGATCCACTCTGGCCTCCTCTCTGCTCCTAAAATAAACCAACAAAGTTCCACCCTCAGAGCCACTGTGCCTGCTATTCCCTCCACTTGCAATGCTGTTCCCTCCACCTGCAATGGTCTTCCGCAGCTATGTGCTGGACCCTCTCCTTCAGGCACCTGCACCTGTCACCCCCCTGAAGCAGCCTTTCAAGACCAGCCAATATAAAATTATACACTTGTAACCCCCAGTCCTCTTACCTTGCTTTATTTCTCTCCTCAGCACTCATTATTACAGACAGACCACACGCTTGTTTATACTGTCTTCCCCCAATTAGACCTGGCCCTTGTTCAGAGATTTCCTTGCGGTTTACATGATTTCCCCGCTGTGCAGGGAACACCACGGGGCACCGAGCAGCAGCGTGCTTACTGAATGAACTGATGACAGAATGAACTGGCACCATGAAGAGGGACAGTGGGCAGCAACGACGTGCCCTCTGACCTGGCGTCACGCCTCAGAGCCGGACCGCTCTGAGGACCAGTCAGCCAGCGCCACCAGACGGCTCTCTCCAAGAGAAGGGAGGAACCCTGATCACAGTCAGACACACAGAAGTCTGCTTCGGAGGATGACAAATGAGGGTAACTGGACTCGTGGCACTAACCGATCACAGGCCACCCAGGGATTCATGGCATCCACCCTCCCAACCCCCAGACTCCCTGCGGCCCAGAGAATGCCCATTACTGCAGGACAAGGCCATATGAGTTACTGATAAAGGATCAATGTTGCTGGTGTCTCTTCACAGACACTACAGAAAAATACCTTGCAATTCCTGGGGGAAAAACAGAGTGATGACGTCAGTTAGCCAGAGTCACCTGGAGGTGGGGCATCACGGCCTCGTCCATCTGCTGGCCCCGAGCTGATGGAACTTGGCAAGTGTTCCTTCCCACAGGCTCCAAGACCACAAAACCAGACAACTGAATGAAAGGAACCCGAAGGGGTGACTGACACAGGGACTGTGACCCTAACTGTCCCCTGGAGTAGCAGTGCTCAGCCTCTGCATCACATAAAAATCACCTGGGGAGCTTTGTAAAAACCCTCACACCCCCACAACACCCTAAACTGAATAATACGTGACTTCAGGGAATGGGTTCCAGGTATCGGGGTTTCTAAAAGCTCCCCAGGTGAGTCCACGTGTACGGCTACTGTTGAAAACCATCTGACAAGAGGCTGTGTTGGGGTGAGAGAGCCGGGAGGGACGCACAGTCTCTTACCTCACCAGGGTGTCACTGCCCGCCCCTCCTGGGCTGTAGTACAGGACATTCTCCAAGGACAGGGAGAACTTCAGCCCCTCTGCCTCCGAGATGTACAGGTTGGTGCGGTTGTTACTATGACTGACACACACAAACACCTGGTCCTCGGAGGCGTCTGCGATGTAATATTCCTTTGGCATCAAAAGTCAAAAAAAGACACGAGTCAAAAAAACCGCCTATGCCCCATGGACTGTCACTCTGCGCCCTAAAGCAACAACTTCCAAACGTCCCCGGGACGAATGTGGGCTTGGAGCCCAAGGAAGGCCTCCCAACCCTAGAGAAGAAGCTTGGCTGACCCTGTCTTTGGAGAACCTGAGGCTGCCATGTGGCTGGAGCAGGTCCCTCAGTGGCAGGTGGAGCATAAAATAAGAATGGGCCACGGAACTCTACAAACGACCCAGGAGCCTCTTGGTAGATCAGGGGCCTCCCGATCAGTAGCACAAAGTACAACACGGACTCACATGTACCTCCCTCCCTCTCGTCTTCTCTAAGGAAGACGGAGCACAGAGAAGGCAAAGAACTGATGAGCATGTTCTCCATCTCACAAGCCTCTGAGCCACTGGCCTCCCGTCACACCCACTCCTAGCATCACGGCCTTCAAATGCCACCTCCGTCCTGTGGTCGCTTCTCTGACAACCCCGGCCCACCGTGACCTCCCCTATCGCTCTGTCTTCCAACACGGACTGCACAGTCAGGCCGTGGACTATGTGTGGTTTCTTCCTCTGCTCTGTTCTCAGGCTCTCCGATTCATCTGTTTCTAAAAGGGTGAGACTCAAATCTTATCCTCTTTTGGACCCTCACCCTCTGTGAGCAACACAGCAGGTACTCATAACTAACTACTGCCGTCACTAACCTCCCGTCCCTTCAGCACTGACACACTGAGCCCCCGGACTCTGGCTCCAAACCTCTCTGCCAATCCTTCCCCACTTAAACCAAACTAAGGCTCCCATTCAGCTCCACTTCAAAGAGTGAAGAGGGAAAAAGCAGAGCAAGATGCCCAAAGCATCATGGTTCCCTCTCGAGACTTATCTAGTAAGTGCCTTCAGGGAGCCTTCATCAAATACCCACCCGAGAAGGACCTCCCCCATCCCCCTTCCCCAACCTCCGTATGGCACAGCAGCAGTCCTTCCCACCCACCCCCAGCAGACCCCACTCACATTAATAGGATGTCTTGTGACAAACTGGGCTGCTCTCATGGGCTTCCGGCCAAAGGAGACCCAGAGCTGAACAGAAGATGGTTGCGGACTCCCGAAGAGATGCTGCCAAAGAGGGGAGGAGAAAAAAACAATCAATGGTACCACACGACAGCCACTCAAAGTAAATGAGAAAGGAAACAGAAAGGTCAGACCCCTCTGATTCTAGTAAAAATACAAAATCAAGAACGTGACCAAAAA